GAGTCAAGAAACATATGGCAAGGTTTCCAAAACACATGAAGATATAGAAAAGTAATACAGAAAAACAAAAAAAGCAAGGGCAGCTATACCCTGAATACCCAGAAGGTAGTTTTGTAGCAATCATCTTCCTCTCAGTTTAAACACTCTATCTCAGAAGGGAATTATTTTTAATATTCAGGGTATTCTAAAAGCAGGCTACATAATACTTGGGAAGTAAAATCTGTAGGCTAAAGAAGCCCCACAGACTGACCACATGAAAAAGGCCAGTTCCTCCTAAGGATGTGTAAGCACTGCAAACTGCTGAAGAGAACAAGAACACTCATACTACTGGGAAGATACTTTTTAACCTGTCTAGCTCATGGCATGTTGTACAGAGAGATTCATCATTTCAGCTTCATGCTATAGTGGGATTTCAGAGAAGTAACACATCTGTTTCCAATAACAGTCATGAAAAAATTAGTACTCAAAGTATCAATTCATAACTTACTAAAGGATGAATAACTGACATATAGTCAAAATTGAACTGAGGAACACTGGAAGTATTCTTCTAAGATCAGAAATTAGCCTAGGGTGCCCACATTTTTCACTTATTAAATATAGTGTTAGCTTCTTTGACAGAGAAATGAAGCAAGAAAATGAAAGAAAAGGGTTATAAATAGAACAGGAGAACACATTATCTCTAATATAATGCAGTCCACTTTAAATAATGTAAAAGAAGTGTGCGGTGGGCTCATCTGTTAAAATCTTTGCTATGCAAGCAAGGGGACATGCGTTTAGCTCCTTGACACCTGGGTGAAAAGATGGCTTAGTTCTCTAATCCTAGGCCAACGGGTGAGCTGGTATCCTGATAGAAGTTTTGGCCCTATTGATTAACATCCATGGCGCTAGGAACTAGTTTGAATGGCACCAGAGCAGAAAAATAATCCTAAGAACACCCAGCTACAACACTGCAACTTATAACAATGACCTGCTAGCAAGATATTCTAAAAGATGTTAGAGGATAGTAAACCATGTTTTTTTTTTTTCTATTTGAATTAGGGGTTACTACTTGAGATGGAATCTATACTTGACATCACTAAAGTGGCCAAAATCCTGAGCCTAGATAGGTCACGTGCCCTAATTAAAAATGTACCACTAAAATTCTGAATAAAGAACATAGTAATAAAACAATTCCTAAAAACATGCTGCTATACCTACGGATCAGTGCATTATCAATTATCTAAAGAGCTTCTTGCAGTAGTTAGTACCACGTAACAAACAAAAAATAGATTTAAAAAAGTGTTGTTATTAAAATTATAAAATGTGGACCAAGTATTTGGGGTTAAAAAAACCAAAATATATGCTTTTTGTGTGTAGAATATTGCATTTAAAATGAAAAAAATGGAAATCTGAGTATTTAGAATTATGCTATCACTCTCATCCAAAGATAACTTTCAAAAAGTAAAGTTAAAGATTATTTTAATAGTGTAGCTTGAGTTTTCCTGACTGGCCCACAGTCAGGACAAATCTCTGACACCCGCCAGTCCCACAGCCACTCAGACCCAACCAAGTAAACACAGAGACTTATATTGGTTACAAACTGTATGGCCGTGGCAGGCTTCTTGCTAACTGTTCTTACAGCTTAAATTAATCCATTTCTATAAATCTGTACCTTGCCACATGGCTCGTGGCTTACCGGCATCTTCACATGCTGTTTCTCATCCTGGCGGCTGGCAGTGTCTCTCTCTGACTCAGCCTTCCACTTCCCAGCTTTATTCTCCTCCTTATCCCACCTACACTTCCTGCCTAGCCAATGGCCAATCAGTGTTTTATTTATTGACTAATCAGCAACACATTTGCCATACAGAACATCCCACAGCACTTCCCCCATTTTTTTTTTCAAAAAGGAAGGTTTTAACCTTAACAAAATAAAATTACATATAATTTGGGAATTTGGGCGTAGCTTCTCTTACTACTTCCTGCTGGAGGGGGACGCTGTATCTTATGGGGACACAAAGAAAATTTTAGGAACACAGAATAGTCCATGAGGCTGTATTGTCTGAGCCAGATGCCTTCAAACCATTCTGGATGTTGGATCATCTGGGCCATGGTGTCATCAGAGACCTTTCAGGGGGTCTTGGCTGGTCAAACCTGATGTATCTTAATCTGGAACAAATCCTTAGCCTCTGGCTTTCTGTGGGAACAAAAGCAGAACCTCTTTTCCAAAGTAACATATCCTTATATCCAAATTTTGAAGTCAAGTTACCTTTAAAATTTACATTTTGGCATAACTGAACAGCTTTTACAATCAAATGTTTTTCTGCAGTTAAAAGTCCCAAAGACAACACAATGCAGAATCTCTGTGTAATATCCATTTTTACGTGACTTATTTTTTATACTACCTTTACTGTCTCTTTAAAGACTTTATTTTTTAAAACTATGTATTTGTTTCTATAACTCTATATATCACCTTTTTTGTCTCTTTCAAGCCTACGTATCTTTTACACACATTGTAAACTATTACATCTGAATCTGTCTTATTGTGAATCTATTGCCTTAGACTGCAGCAGCTGTGGCTGCTGGCTCCGCCCACCTCAGCTTCCCAACATGGCTACATTTACCACCAGCTCTGGGAGCTATCGTGGGTCTATGCTTTTATCCAAGCAGCATGTAGCCCAGAAACCTCTTTTTTTGTTTTGTACTAGCAAAGGCTAAATCCACCATGCAGCTTAATGTGCCACTTGCAGAGGCCTCATTCCTGCCATTGGGCAGGTCAAGCGCACACCCTAGGAACCCACCAGTAGCTCAAACCAGCAGCTGCTGCTCATTTGAGAGAGACAATTAGGAAGCTGTTTTTAGCTCTGTTTTAGAGTTTTTAGGTGGAAACTCTTGCCACCATGTTGGACGCCATTTGTAGCTAGAGTTTTCCTGCCTTGCCCACAGTCAGGACAAATCTCTGACACCCGCCAGTCCCACAGTCACTCAGACCCAACCAAGTAAACACAGAGACTTATATTGGTTACAAACTGTATGGCCGTGGCAGGCTTCTTGCTAACTGTTCTTACAGCTTAAATTAATCCATTTCTATAAATCTGTACCTTGCCACATGGCTCGTGGCTTACTGGCATCTTCACATGCTGTTTCTCATCCTGGCGGCTGGCAGTGTCTCTCTCTGACTCAGCCTTCCACTTCCCAGCTTTATTCTCCTCCTTGTCCTGCCTAGACTTCCTGCCTAGCCAATGGTCAATCAGTGTTTTATTTATTGACTAATCAGCAACACATTTGCCATACAGAATATCCCACAGCATATAAAATTTAGTTTACATACGAAGATATTAAACACTATTCACTTGAATGTAAGGAGGATGACAGAAAAGTTCCAGGATATTGGTCAAATATCTTGAATGAATAGGCTGAATAGAAGGGATACAAGGAAAACTGCAAATGGGAAAATTCGAGGAACCTCTGCTGGCAAAGATTTAATACTTATATAAAAATTATGCAACATTTAAGTGGAGTTATATTAATCAAACCACTTGTTATCATTGAACAATAGAGACAAAATTATTTTAGAAGCTAATACACTAATTATTAAAGAGAGAGATAGAAAGAGAGAGAGAGAGAAAGAGAGAGAGAGAGAGAGAGAGAGAGAGAGAGAGAGAGAGAGAGAGAGAGAGAGAGAGTACTTGACTTGAGCTTGCTGGTGACCTGGAATACCAGTCATCAGTGGCTGGTGGTAGAGATGGAAATAAGGGCAATGGAGAGACTTATCACTCCATTGGGACTTCTCAGTCCCCAGCATCAGAACCTATTAAATAATTGACTCCTGACTGATTCTCACAAAAATAATCTTCAACAAAAAATTAATCCATGGTATCAAAACCCCAACAACTTTTCTCTACTATCAGATCCCACCTTGTTGTTGTACGTAACTATAGCCTACACAGTGGCCTTGGTAGCTGTGGAGTCAAGCAGACTCCAACAGTACACTATAACCCTGGTTAAATGATTTCTTCCAGGACATCTACAAAAATCGTGCTGATAGGGATTTTACAGAAAGGGTCTATCATGAATGTCCTCAGAATCATCATCAGCATTCCAGCAGGGACCATTAAGAGTGTAGGAACTAGACACAAGCTCCAAATAGAGCTTTCAACATCATACAGCCACCATGCTCCTGGTCCAGAGGGTTCAGCAAATGTAGTTAATCCAACTATGCTTCAGATATCCTTGCTAACAAACCAGAGCCAAAGAGCACAGATTGAAGCATGCACACCGTATGCATATACACACGGTATTTTTATTTCTAGTTTTAGAATGTGTTTTCTATTTTAAAAAGTACAATACAGCCACTTTGAAGAATGTTTTTGATACAGAGAACTCAACACAAAAGTAAAAGGCAGACTTATGTAGGGAGTTGGACCACTGAGTCATCTCTTTTCTCTCACAGATAGGTTCCTTGCAAATGTCACCTATGCCACCTCCCTACCATTTTCCAGTTGTGTTGGAGATGAGAGGAATCATGGGTATAAGTGATATCATATTAACTGTGCATCAGGAGCTTACCACTTTTTCCTGGAATTGTTTGTATTTGTTCACTAGAAGAGTATATTCGGTTTAAAAGTATATGTTATGAGCAATTCCTTAAAGGTCTTTCAGCCATTTGAGTTTCCTCTTCTGAGAATTCTCTGTTCAGTTCTATAGCCCACTTCTTAATTGGACTCCTGGGCATTTTGATGTCTAATTTCTTGAGTCCCTTATATATTCTGGATATCAGTCCTCTGTCAGATGTGGGGTTGGTGAAGACCTTTTCCCATTCTGTAGGCTGTTGCTTTGCCTTGTTGACTATATCCTTTGCTCTACAAAAGCTTCTAAGTTTCAAGAGGTCCCATTGATTGATTGTTTTCTCAGTGTCTGTGCTACTGGTGTTATATTTAGGAAGTGATCTCTCAACATTCCTAATCATCAGGGAAATGCAAATCAAAACAACTCTGAGATACCACCTTACACAGTGTGATTCAATGTCTTTCCTCTGTCAACTCTATTCTAACTCCCATGAGCACAGAGGACACAGACACTGCCCCATTGAAGCAGCTGCTGAGAGTCAAATGGAAAGACTTGTAAAGCAAATGGCATCTTTATGGGAGAAGATCCAAGAGAATCAAGAGAATTTAGAGGCAGAGAACAGAAGGACAACTCTGTGGATGGACTACCTGATTCTGCGGGAACAAATGATCAGGACAGAGTATGCAAAACTGCACCCACTCCTCTCTGAAGAGGAAGTGCAACACATCGAGTCTATGAGACATGAAGGCCAATGTGTTTTAGAGAAACTCAGGACAAGTGAAGCCATCATGATCCAAAAGAGCAAAGAAATAAGAGAAATGTACCAGGAGCTGATGGCAATGTCCCAGGAGCCATATGTGGTCCTGCTGCAAGATTCAGATGACATGTTCAGAAGGAGTGAGTCAATGCAGCTGAGCATGCCCCCATCTGTGAACAAAGAACTCACTGCTCTACCTATCAATGGACTGACTGAAAGTTACAAGCAGTTCCAAGCTCACATTATCTTTGAAAACGTAACCATACTTCATTCCAAGATGAACATATTTAATGTCATGAGAAGATTCAGCTTCAGACTTCACCATAAGGATAGACCTGCAGATTCTGCTGGATTTTATATTGCTTCCTGGGGATCTCAGAGCTTCATCTCAGGGAAATATTATTGGGAGATTGATTTGAAGGACTCTTGTGAGTGGGCTGTGGGAGTCTGTAAGGATTCACAGTTAAGGAGTAGAAATCAAATGATTGAATCTGAGGGTGCATTTCTTCTTGTGTGTGTGAAGGAGGGTAATCATTACAGTCTCCTCACCACCTCTGGCACTACATAGAGAAGCCATTGGGCCAGGTTGGTGTGCTTCTTGATTGTGAAGATGGTTGTTTAAGTTTCCTGAATGTTACCAAGAGTTCCCTCATATACAGGTATCCTCCTGGCACCCTCAGTTACCCTGTCAGGCCTTGTGTATCCAGTGGTTGTACATGATCACAGGAAGGTGTAATCCAGTACTTTGTTGTTCTGAAGTTTTCACTCTGTAATGTTACATCCTTCACTGCTATTAAATATTACAATACTATTAAATGTAAAAAAAAAAAAAGGAATGGGCTATAGAACTAAACAGAGAATTCTCAACTGAGGAAACTCAAATGGCTGAAAGACATTTAAGGAATTGCTCAACATCCCTAATCATCAGGAAAATGCAAATCAAAACAACTCTGAGATACCACCTTATACCTGTCAGAATGGCTAAGATCAAAAACACTGAAGATACCTTATGCTGGAGAGCATGTGGAGCTAGGGGAACTCTCCTCCACTGCTGGTGGGAATGCAAGCTTGTACAACCACTTGGGAAATCAATATGGTGCTTTCTCAGAAAATTGGGAATCAACCTCCCTCAAGATCCAGCTATACCACTCTTGGGGTTATACACAAGGAATGCTCAATCATACAACAAGAGCACTTGTTCAGCTATGTTCATGTCAGCATTGTTTGTAATAGCCAGAACATGGAAACAACCTAGTTGCCCTTCAACTGAAGAATGGATAATCAAAATGTGGTACATATACACAATGCAGTACTGCTCAGCAGAAAAAAAAAAACATTGACATCATGAGGTTTGCAGGGAAATGGATGGATCTAGAAAAAATCATCCTGAGTGAGGTAACCCAGACTCAGAAAGACAAACATGGTCTGTACTCACTCATAGGAGGATACTAGATGTGGAACAAGGATGACTGGACTGCTACTCACATCACCAGGGAGGCTACCTGGAAAACAGGACCCCAAGAAAGACACGGAGATCACCTAATGATGGAGAAATGGAAGAGATCTACATGAACAGCCTGGACATGATTGGGGGTAAGGAAGGGCAAGGGTCGAGGGAAAGAGCGCTTAGGGAAGTAGGAGATCCTAGCTGGATCAACAACAGAGAGGGAGAACAAGGAATAGGAGACCATGGTAAATGAAGACCACATGAGAATAGGAAGAAGCAAAGTGCTAGAGAGGCCCACAGAAATCCACAAAGATAATTCCACAACAGACTGCTGGCAATGGTCGAGAGACAGCCTGAACTGACCTACTCTGGTGATGGGATGGCCAAACACCCTAATTGTTGTGCTAGAAACCCCATCCAATGACTGAGGGATCTGGATGCAGAGATCCATGGCTAGGCCACAGGTGGAGCTCTGAGAGTCCAATTATGGAGAAAGAGGGGGGTTTATATGAGTGAGAATTGTTTAGACCAATGTTGGATAAAGCACAGGGACAAATGGCCAAATGATTGGAAACACATGAACTATGAACCAATGGCTGAGGGGTCCCCAACTGGATCAGGCCCTCTGAATGGGTGAGACAGCTGATTGGCTTGATTTGTTTGGGAGGCATCCAGGCAGTGGGACCAGGTCCTGTGCTCATTGCATGCGTTGGCTGTTTGAAACCTGGGGCCTATGTAGGGACACTTGGCTCATCTTGGGAGGAGGGGACTTGACCTGCCTGGACTGAGTCTACCAGGTGATCTCAGTCCTCGGGGTAGTCTTTGCCCAGGAGGAGGTGGGAATGGGAGGTGGGCTGGGAGAAAGGTGAGGGTGGCAGGAGGGGGTAGAACAAGGAAATCCGTGTCTGATATTTAGATCTGAATTGTATTGCAAAATTAAAAAAAATAAATAAAATAAAAAATTTTAAAAAAGAGGGCAAATGATATAGTGTAAGAGAGACTTGTGGAAGGATAAATAACACTACAAATATTAGGAGAAAGACAAATGGAACCCTATTATTATAGATTCTTCCTTGTATATAGGTGATAGATAGATAGATGATAGATAGATAGATAGATAGATAGATAGATAGACAGACAGATAGATAATAGGTATGAAAATTTAAAGTGTATGGAGTTACCCTGTACCTGGACAACAGTGATCCTATTGGACACTAGAAGCTATTTAATAAAAAGCATTGTGATATGAAGGGGTACCATGTTTTGGGGGTTGTTTGCAAATGAGGTCCTAAATACCACAAGTTTTTGGTTACCCTCTTTAACTTGATGTTTAAACCCTATCAATACAGACACCATAAATTTGAGTTGTCAAGCATGGTAAAACTATGCTGGTACAAACCTGGAAACTATCCCTAAGTGTCTAATTTTCATAGGCAGAAGCACCATATCCATGGTGTCATCTTGTTGGGTTGTTCTTTTTTTATGGTATGAAAATTTGTGTACTTATTTATATTTGAAATAATTTATGTCAAGAGATTCCTCAAAATATTTTTTGTGAAGTAGGAGAGATGGTTCAACACTGAAGAGCTTGTAACTCCAGAGATAATAAATACTGTATTCACTATATATTACAGTATTAGCTATAGATAAATATTCATATTTTCCTACAAACAAAGCACCCTTAATTCTTCAATTTTATAATAGTAATTCATGTTAGAGTATCGTTCAGTAGCTCATGATGACCTTGCAGATAAATTTCTAACACATTTCTGTGACTGACCATTTTGCCTGGAATGAACCTTAACCTCTCTTCACCTGACCAACTCTTACACAGCATATGTGACTCAGCTCCGTATGTCTTTAGCTGACAATATTCTTCACTTTAATTCAAAACGTTTATTTCATAGTTATACAAATCAAGCTCCATTTGTTTTGGAGCTATTTGAATATCTATTCTTTACAATATTTAACAACAGACTTCCTCATTAGATCTCCCTTTCTATATAATTTCCTCTTTAAATTAAGATCCTTAGCATATTGCATAGAATAAGTTAGCCTCTAATAAGTACTTGTTAACTACTCTGTTGAACTAAAGAGCCTATTCTCAGCATTGTATCATGCCTAGATGTACTTAAATTCAAATCAAAGTGAAATAACATTGGCTTGGCACTATGTTGTTTAACTTTGCATTTTATAGCGTGCAAGCAAAGCAAATCTCTATGGAGATCCCCAGCATTAAATATTGACTTCAGTTTCTAGAAGTGCATAGTCATCACCCAAATGTGCTTATCTTTGGCAAAGTACACTTCTAAAAGTCATTTGCTTACTGTTAATTTGAAGTATTTTTTTTTTAAACCAGACTTTTTATTTCATGATTGATCATTGAATTCTTCAAGGAAAGGGACAGCTGGATGCTGCAACAGCTTCCCTTCCTGGATTTAGGTGTTGCTCCTTTGCCTAATCCTGAATTGATTCTATCATAGAAAAACTGTAGCTGTCTCCTTTACCCTTTCCTGTTTGTGTTTTATCTCTCAGCTTTGGCACTCCAGGTGTCCTTTCTATTGCTGCCATGTTTGAATTGTTCTATCTGCTGCAGGCGGCAGGCCCTAGAGCGAGGGCCCCACGATGTGTGTATGTCATGGCAACACTTCATTATTTTTTAAAAAAAGGTTTCTAATAAAAGTACTTTTACATCTGCTGTCAAGACCAAGAAGCTAATTTGAAGTATCTAGCCCCAGAAAATACAAAGAATAGATTAAAATCCTTTGTGAAAGCTAGTCTTCATGTAGTTCACATCCGTTACAGATCTGGGAGATTCTCAGTGAGTACAGTGGTTGCTGAACAAACATGAAGACCTAAATTCTTTTCCAGCCCTCATTCAAGAGTCCTGTGTGGTGCATACTTGTAGTTCTAGCACCGGTGGTTTCATTCTTTCCAGACATCATTGATGCATTTATATTAATATCAATCATGATTTCTCACCTACAGTTTGGCATTGCTGGCAATTCTACTCTCATGGAGCAAACATAGAGTTGATCATTTAATTTTGTAAATCACAACTTTATATGATAATCAACCATTTAGCAGAATGAAGAATTGAATAGCTCTTTAGAAGGGGCCAGAATATAAAATAATAATAGCTTTTTTTTATATAAACATTAGAATGCAACTTCATTCTACATGTTGCAAAAACTAAAATATACTAAATACATTTATCAAAAGTCAAGCAAGAATAAGAAGCATATGCTATAATTTATTACAGTGCTATGAAGAAACTGCATATCATGAGTGAAAATAATCTTGACTTCTAAGAGAGTACAGTTTGCACTGTGTAGATATCCAAACAGGAAGAATAAATTAGAAAAGCATCTCCGGTGCCTTGTCTGTTTTCTTTTCTTTCATTATGATAGGTTCTGCTTTGTAAAAATTTATTCTTTTTAAACTTGTTTTTCTCTTATAGTGTAGTCATTGATATTTTAGTCTCAATTGGACTTAATTATAACAAGTGTTTCACCTTTGCTATGCCATCAAAAAAGAAGACAGGATGCTTATACCCTGCATAAGATTTCTCTCAGCAATACCCTTTCTGATTGCTATTTATTCAGAGAGTGAATGTTTGAACTCTTCCATTGATTGATGTTTTATTTTACTAAAAACACAAGGGAGCAGAATATTGTCCTTCAGGAATAAAGCTCGATATCATACACATGCTACTCTTATAACCCTACTTTCATTACAGCCTTCTTTATGTAATTCCAGATGAGAATGCAACATTTCCAAGCTCATTGATCAAAAAAGTAAGCTTTTCTTTAAAGGAGTTAGAAGCTAACAAAGCAAGTAAAGCTTTCAGTCTCTATCAAACAAAACGACTTTGATTTTTTTTCCTCATTCAAATAAATAGGTAGGAACTATGGAGATGTAATACAAAATAACAACAAACTGCTCTCTCTTTCACAAGTAAAACATTTTCTGGCAATGTCAAGTGTTTTACAGTGTGACTATTGAATAATGGTTCAAGATAACCAATATGTAATTTAAATTTTGAAGAGTCACATGAAAAGTAAAAATGTAAATTAAATTTGTTTAATAATAATGTATTTTATTTTTCCTGCTATATCTAA